GGATGTTTATAATCAACATATACATGCCCACAAAGGTACGCTATGGTGGTGATATAGGAAAAAGACTGCACACTGTGAATAAAACGCAGATGGGAAATGTTTGATTTTATACCACGTACTAGGTTCTAGGGGGAATAATTATGATATGCAGTAGGTGAGATTGTGATAACCACAATATCATATAAAACTGATGTCCCCAACAAGAAAATATATAATCAGATATGAAAGCATACATATCAAATGATATTATAAGGGTACACAACAATCATAGGGAAGTTGTGAAGCTTGTCAAATAAAATAGATCTTCAAGATCTCCCAAAAATCCTTATCCTCAACTTTACATTAGTTCACTCACTGGTTTGGGAATTGCTTCGTGCAAATTCACATGATATAATTCACTCTCTCATTTGCTTCGGGCAAACTAATATGAAATGATTTATTCCTTCGTTTGCTTCGGGCAAACTGATATGATATCATTTTCTTCTATCTTTCAAATTAATAACATATAAATCAATCATATCATGTAAGGCATAAGTCAAGGATCATTCTTATAAAGGGGTATAGTATACTACCCCTTAAATAACACAGAATTGCACTAAGCCATACTCGGAGAGGGATTCGACACTTTGACATCTTAAATTTAGTCAAAAGATTATTATCATAATTTATTGATAATAGCAATCCTTCTGGGATTGATAATAATTCAATTTTGAATTAGCAACCAGTCAATTTCATACGAGAATCATGTTGCATGCATGAGAAAAAAATTTCATAAATAAGCATGCAAACTAAGAGGAGTAACTCCGAGAAGTAAACTTCCCCCGGAAAATAAAGTTCCAGAAAGTAAAAAACATTCGAAAAGTAAAATTTCAAGAAGTAAGATTAGAAAGTTAAGCTTATAGAAGTAAACTTTCCGAATAGTCACTTCGAGTAGTAAAATTAGCAAGGAAAAAGTGAAAAACAACAAAGTAAAATCACTTTGCATTCATAATAATTTGCGTCCAAAAAAAAACTTAACTTTTCGAATATTACGGTCATGAATTAACTTTTCGGATGCTTCAGGCATAAACTAACTTCTCGGATGCTTCAAGCATAAGCTAACTTCTCGGATGCTTCAAGCATGAGATAACTACTCGGATACTTCATGCTTCAGGCATGAACTAACTTTTTTTGGCCATGAATATATTTTCATGCATTGTTCAAAATATTATCATGACACCAATCATTTCTTCATCAATACCTCGTCATTTCATTATCATCATTTATCGCAATATTTGCTTCAGGCAAATTAGCTAGAATCATCAAGATGAGGTTCATTCTCCGATGAGCAAATGCTTTGGTGCGCGGCACGTAGGGATCAATACCCTTCAGACCCAATTGTTAGCAAACCTGCTTCTGGCTAGGATTTTGCCTCGATGGGTTTGGTCGTCCTTGAATATCTTGATCACTTTGTTTCTTATTCTAAGCTCGAAACTCATACCACACCGATTATAATCTCGACTGTAACCCCTTATAAAGTTACTCAACTAGGTAACATTATGTGCTTCAATCACCTGTGCAAAATCAACCAGACATGCACTTTTGATCCTTCATCAACAACTAGTTATGATTCTTAGCCACAAGGAGTGCTAAAATCAGCTTAGGATACTTCGCATAATTTGTTGTCTTGTACTACTGCTGGAGTACAAATTACTCGCATTAAAAGTTGGCAATGTCTTTCCAATGAAATATTTATCTGAAACTTCTTGTTTAGAGTTTCAGTTGCGAGACTATTTTGTGCATAGCTGAATTATATTTAATCACTGACTTACATTATAATCTCAAAATTAAACATGAGATTAAACTAGTCAAAATGTGTCTTGGGGAAGAACATTTGATGGCTTTTGGTCAGAATAGTCCTTCAGGGACTTCCATTAATTCAAAGCGTTCTTTTTCAATCAGATACTCATTTTTAAGATCGTGGTTCAAGTGGTGACATATGAAAATGAGAGCTTGTGCCTTCTGGGCATCGATGCTCTGTGACTTAGCAAAAAAAGCTTGGCTCAATTCTTTGGATGCCAAATAAATTTCAATATCTAGAACCCAACAATTGCTTCCTTCATAAGCGAGTTCAATAAATTCACATTTGACAATGGAAGACGTAATCTACAAAACATATATCATATATTTTCATATACGTTCATAATATCACATGTTTATAGCAAAATAAAGAATTTAATATCTTCTAGATGCAAAACGAACTTTCCGGGATGAAGTCAAAATATAAAATCTAAAAACAAATTGATCTTTCGAATATACACAAATTAAAACCGAAATGGTGCAACACGAATCGGTGAGGCAAACACCAAATTGATGCAGCAAGCATCGACTTGTGTTTATAGCATCAACTCGTGCTACAAGAAACAAGGCACGAATCGGTGCGGCAAACACCGAATTGATGCACCAAGCATCGACTCGTGTTTATAGCATCAACTTGTGCTACAGGCAACAAGTAGTGCTTCACTCTCCAATACACCGAATTCATGCTCCCAAGTCATCAATTAAGTTTTAAAGTCTCACTCACTCTTAAGTTTCCACAAAATAAACTTTAACAATCTTAATTAAAAACCATTCATTCATTGCCTAATTAGGCACAAAAATGAATTGCTAATCACATGCAAATGGCATACCATAAAAACATAATAATGCACTATAGCATAGGGTATATAACATACAAAGTATGCGAAATGAAAATAATATGTATACATATATTGCATCTTTATACGAAAAGCCACTTCTATTTACACAAACATATATATCACATGCTTTTCTTTCAATTTGAAGAATCACAAATAAAATTGGAAATATATATAGGAATTTACACAATCATATATATACGAACCAGTATGTGCAATTCATATTTCAAATTTTAGAATCAATATGTATCATATCAATCATGCATTTCATAATTATATCAAGAGGTGTAGAATCAACATGTGCCATATAAAACATGTATTATATAAAAACATGTATTGTAACAGATTCAGGCATACCATTCACCGAAGATTACGATAGAGACTCGTGCTGATAACGTGTTGTAATTTGGCCTATCAACTCGTTAGTTCTCGCGTGATAGTTGTACGGTAACGCATCGATTATATGTATGAAGAATATTGCAATATGGAATGGAAGAGTAGAGAGAAAAATATAACACAAGAATGTAGAACTCAAGAGCACAAGTTCTCTATTTCATTATGTCTTGAACATGTATATATAAACATCCATATAACCCTTCATTTTCTATAACATAAATAATGGAATAAATTTAAGGCAAATGAAAGGTCTTGTGATAATGGCCATAATAATAATAATATTTATATCAGTTTTCTATTTTAATAAATTTTAAAACTAGTATATGTTTATATAAATTTGAGTTAATACCCAAAATAGTCCCTCGACTATGTCGTAATTACCAATTTGGTCCTCGACTATCATTCTTACCCAATTAAGTCCTCAACTATACAATTTTTATCCAATTTAGTCCTTTGTCAATTTGACTGTTTGTTGACTGTCAAAAGTGGAAATAAAGTTGTAATTTTACAAGTTTTCTCCTTCCTCCTCATTTAGCAGCGCCAAACCATGTAGCAATAAGCTCCGGTTGGGTTCTAAACCTGTCAGTATCGAAGTATTGGTTATGCATCGGATAGCCCATTAATTTGATTTCCAACGACTTTTTGACGATCGAAATCTGATCGGAGCATATTGCTGCATGGTTTGGCGCTGCTAAATGGAGAGGAAGGAGAAATCTTGTAAAATTATAATTTTATCCCGACTTTTGACAGTCAACAAACAGTCAAATTAATACAGAGGACTAAATTGGGTAAGAATTATATAGTTGAGGACTAAATTGGGTAAGAATTGTATAGTTGAGGATTTAATTGAGTAAAAATTACATAGTTGAGGACTTAATTGGGTAAGAATGGTAGTTGAGGATCAAATTGGTAATTATGGAATAGTCGAGGGACCATTTTGGGTATTAACTCTATAAATTTCATATAATTCATATAAGTAAAGAATAAAATTTATTATCTGTGCATCGCACGATTAGTATGTAATAAAAAAAATAAAGAGTAAATATTCAATATAGTCATCAACTATAGTGGTTTTATTCAATTTAGTCATAAATAACTTTTTTATGCTTAATTTAATCATCGACTTTGATGCTTTTTACACAATTTAGTCCTTTATTATAAATTCTCTTAGTTGACTGTTATAAATAGGATCTTGATAGTAATTTATCATTCTTCATCTCATTTGGGATGATTCCTTCTGATCTTCTTCCCCTTATTAAGCTCCATGTAGAAATAAATATCTTCATCCCTAAATCAATTTCTACCCTAAATAAATAAATATTTACCTACAGTATTTTTTTAAATAGCTTTTTAAGTTAGATTTGGGTGCACAGCCCCTAGAGAAGTAGCAGGGAAGCAGCAGTAATAAGAAATTATCATTAGGATCCTATTTATAATAGTCAATTGACATAATTTTTAACAAAGAATTAAATTGTGTAAAACCATCACAATCGCTGATTAAATTGAGCATAAAAAATTATTTAAGACTAAATTAAATAAAATCACTATAATCAAAAGTTATATTAAGTATTAACTAAAAAAAAAATATTACGGACTATTATCTACTGAAAATAACATAACTCCGCAGTCCGCACCCTACAAATGAACATTAAAATTTAGATAGAATAAATATTACTCCGTATAAAATAATTCCTTATATCCACGATATAATTTGGGCATTCTAGTAAACCAAATCCGACGTCAACGCTACAGGAGCCATCGCTGTGGCTGACACCTCACTCCTCAGTCCTCACGACTCACGAGTGATCAAGGTAGGCGTGTTTCAGTAGAAAAGTTGAGTAATTGCTATAATTGAGGGATTAATTAAGCAATGTTAATTCGGGATTAGAGATTTTAAAACCAAAGGCAAGAACACAAATTAATTGTGTCATTTGCCTTCACCCAAAAACCTGTAAGATGGGAGAGTGAGTTTGCAGTTCAGCATTCACCATCTGCAATTACTCTACTACTTCAATTCAATTGGAGATCTCTATTTCCAGTTGAATTTTTCTTACCCTAACCACCCAGCAGCATCACCTTTATAGTGTTTGATGAAATGCCTATGTGAGAAGTAGCATTTCTTTACAAACAGTATTTTGAAGTAGAAAATATCTTGTAGATTGTCAGAGGTACAAGGCATTTATGTTCATATGTGTATTATGCTATTATTAACTTGATATGTGCTCACAAAACATTATATGAGATTGTTCTTTAGCTTTTCTGTGCAAGTATGCTCACTTTAGTATTTATAGTGGAGAGTTGAAGGATAACAAAATGCTCATTGTTTAATTTGAAATTTACTGTACTGTAATTTTATCCCTTGGATTGCAATATTGCTCTACAAATAAAATGGAATAGCAAGTATTGGACTATTGAACACTCTCCTGATGCAAAATAATTGAACAAAGCCCAAATCAATGAATTCAGCTTCCGCCATGCTTTTATAATTCACTATAATGTTGGGTGGTTGGTTTTTGTTATGGAGCTGAACTACATAATATATAATACAGTATTTCAGTCATTTATCAAATTTTTTTATGTAATGAATAATTTAGTAAAGTTGAATATTACTCCAAACCCAGAGATTAGAAAGATGAGCATTATAATTTATAATAAAATCAAGAATGGCCCTTGAACTGTGATATTACTCCAAACCTCAGTTTGTAAGTTAGCTGCAGTAACATCTGTTTGAGATATATACTTATATTAGTACTCTCTCTGTTAGACCATTTTGTCAGTTTGTATACAATTTAAAGATTAAATTAGCATTTTGTTGGCCCTTATGTTAACTTTTTTACATTTATACTTTTTTTTTTTGGTATTAAATAGAGTTAATAAAATCAGTTTATTATAATGACCAATGACTGGATAGTTAAGACAATTAACATTTTAATAAGGGAGGATTAAACCCTTATTGGAATATACTCAGTATTCCACAAATGCACTTTTCTCAACCCAATTTGACAGGTTCTTTTTGCCAAATGGTTGAGGGATATGTCATGGATGAGTGCTATTGTAGTGACTATTTTATGTTTTTTTCTTTTTGTTTATTTTTATCATTCATTAGGTCTGTTATTGCTTTTAATTTGTGAGTTATGGTTACTTGAACTTTGTCGAATTTTGTTTTTGTTACTAGGGTTGTCAATTTTTTTTCATAATGATTGACAAATTATGGATTGAAAAAACCCAAAATTCATCCTGAATACTAAACCGGACTAAATGTACTTTTAGATTTTCCATTGGTCTGTTGAGTACAAAACTGTATTTTGGAGTTAAAGTATTTTTTTAGATTGTTAGAGGTAGAAGGCATTTATGTTGTTAAGCTTTATTTTCAGTAATGACTTGATTTGATAGTAACTGTATCTATTTGTGGGGCATCTTGGGTTATTATTTGATTGATTAATACTGAACTTTACCTATAAACTCCTAATAACTGTTTCAAGTTTGGACTTATCTGCTTGATTTGTGCTTTCTAAAGAGTAAACTACAGGAGTTTATCAAAATAAGGTCAAAGAAGATTTCCAGAAGCTAGCTGAAATGTCAAATGTATTTAACTTGATATGAGCATATTTCATGGAGCTCATGTAAAAGCCTTTATCATAAAATCACTTGTTTAAGCCTATATTTATTAAGTGTTCAAAGTGCTTGACCTATAATTGTTTGAGTAACCATCTTCTCCAGGACCACTGATATTTCTTTGCTTTCAGATATTATTCACAACTACTTATGTCCTTACGTAGACCACCACTTCCTCGGCTTCTCCTTAAGAATGTAGCTTGCATGAGAAACGCCCAGCAAATCCTCCGCCATGTAAATGTTTCTCTCCACGACGGTGGTGCCCTTGTACTCACAGGCGCTAATGGCTCGGGAAAAACTACCTTTTTGCGCATGTTAGCCGGTTTTGCAAAACCGTCGGCTGGTGAGATACTCTGGAATGGTCACGACATCACTAGCTCGGGAGTTTTCGAACAGTACAAACTTCAGCTCAATTGGCTCTCTCTCAAGGATGCTGTGAAGGAGAAGTTCACAGTCCTGGACAATGTTCAATGGTTTGAAGTTCTCGAAGGCAAGCAGGGGAAGTCTTTGCCCGCACTAGAACTCGTGGGGCTCGGGAGATTAGCAAACGAGAAGTCGAGAATGCTTTCCATGGGACAAAGGAAGAGGTTACAACTCGCCAGGATGTTGGCGATTGATCGGCCTATTTGGTTGCTTGATGAGCCTTCGGTGGCGCTGGATGATGATGGCGTGAAATTGCTCGAAACCATTATTGCTGAGCATAGAAAGAAAGGCGGCATTGTCATTGTGGCCACACATCTACCGATTACAATTGAGGATGCCATGCATTTGAGGTTACCTCCAAGGTTCCCTCGAAGAATGACATTGGTGGACATGCTTGATCGAGGCGGATTGGAGTAATACTATAACATCAATTGCCTTTAGCTGTGATGTGAAGGTACCTAAGTTTTTTTCTTCTTCTTTTAAATATAGATACAAGAGTGTAGGAAGAAAATTGCTACGTTGAGGTGGATTGCAATATAAACTTAAGCTATTCTTTGCTTTTTGGGTGAGTTCTCCAATTGAAATCTCTTTTCCTGTCTTAATAAGTGTAATTTTGAGTTTTTAATGGGTAGTGTTGAATAGGTGTCAAATTTTGTTATTGTTAGCCAATAGCTTATTGTATATGCGTGTATTAGTGTGTTACGAGTTGCTTTTACTTGATAGTTGATTATATTTGTGAACTGACCAATTAATTACATCAATTGTTTGTATAAACATATTCGGTGACATATGTTGAGGAAATTAAGTAAAAAAAAAAATTAACTTTGTCAAAAAATTAAAAAGTTACCAAAAGTTTAGAACTCTTCAAAAGTCGCCAAATGCACCTCATATTTTGGTTAGATTTAAAAGTTGATATTTGAATTATTGAAACCTGTAGCACTTGATCCGCTAGCCCCGGATTGAAGAGGACAATAGAAAAAGGGATGAGGAAATTTTCGTCCTCAGTGGTGTTAAGACCAACATTGTGGAGCACAGTAAAAATTCAAAATGACAAGTAAAAACTTAATTTTAAAGGGTGATGTTTCCAAGAACAAATATCATTTAAAATGTTTTAAATGTGGCAATGTATATATATATATATATATATATATATATATATATATAGGTTTAAATGTGGACAATATTTTTCTTATAGATTCACCATTACGTATGTAAAAATGTACCACACAATGTTTAGAAATACCCAACTACAAAATGCAACATACCAAAAAATGTAAGCATTTATGCGTACCTAATGGTGAGTGACCTAGGAAGCACTGTTCGTACGAGAACCTAACCCATATATATATATATGTGTGTGTGTGTAACAATGATAACAATTTTTTTAAAATTGTTTTTTGAATTTGAACATTTTAAAATATAAGAAAAAATTATTTCGTATCGTTTTCTAATTTCCATTTTTAAAAAATTTGAAAAAAAAAATCAATTATTAGAATCCAAATGTTTCATCATAATTTATCCTCCTAAATACTTTGTCGGGTCGGGGTGTGAGGGCCCTTAGGGTTGGGGTTCAACCTTTTGGAAGAATAATTTATAAACACCTATGAGATTCAAGAGTCTGGCACAGTAAGCAAGCGACAGATCATTTCACCACAATAGACCAGACCAGGATTGCAATTACAGACAACAGATGCGCACATAAACTAAGACGGTGATAATATATAATAACTATAATCTTACAAAACCTTGAGTAATGAACCAAAATTGAATTGGAAGACCAAAATGGATGAATGCCAACCAGCTGCTTGAGCTAAGAAATATGCATCCAGTCGAGCCTCGCACAAACAAATACTCCGTATGTATAGATATAAAATGCCTAAGAAAAGTGAATTCCAGCCTTGTTGAACAAAGAAAGTAGGTGCATGAAATCTACTTGCGTGAGTTTGGAAGACCTCTTATCTTCAAACTTCCCTTGCTTCAACACTGACACAACTTTTTCTTTGAAATCTGATCCTTTAGCATCACCATCATCCATATCCATCTCATTCTCATCATCCCCATCGTCGATGTCCATACTCATGTCTCCAAGCGTATCTCCTAAGGCTGATACAGCCAAAGACATGTCTGTGGTGTCCTCTAAAGATCCATTCTCGGGTACCTGCAATGCTTGCAGAGTTTTGTAGTTCTTCTCTAGCAACGAAAGCACCGTCTTTTGTCTAAAAATTGCACCTAGAGTTTTGTTCTTCCTATTGAAGCAGATTCGAACTAAACCATCCCACTCCTTGAAGTTCAGGTTTTGAAACGGCTTCATTGGCTCAATTCTGACTACTGAAGAATCAACCTTGGGTGGAGGTCTGAAATTGTTTCTTCCTACCTTCAGAAGATGGGAGACTCGAGCTAACAGTTGAGTGTTGACAGAAAGGCGGCAATAAAGAGTATCGCCGGGCTGAGCAACAAGCCTCATGGCGAATTCCCTTTGGAACATAATAACTGCAGCCCTGAATAGTGGCCTATGAGACAGTAATTTGAAAGTAAGAGGAGACGAGATTTGGTATGGGATATTTGCCACGCAGATGTCAAAGTATGGAAGATCACACTTGAGAACATCCCCTTGTATAATCTGGACCATAACAGTGCAAAAGGCAAACATTCAGATTCAGCAGAGACATCGTTTCTTTGAAATGTAAATATTTCATTCCGACTATTGACAAGTTTATCAAATAAACCTTACAGCAAAGGAGGCAGTAGCTTCAAATAAAGTAAGGCATAGCATATTAATGTTTACACAAAAAGAAATTGTTACTACAAGACTACATGAGTGGAAGTGAAATGACTATGGTTATTCATATGAAATAATTTAATTCCCAGTCTTTTAGGTATTGGCCCGGTAACATAATTAGCTTATCAGCTAATTTTGGCTTGTCTCACCACTATTAGTTGTTTGACTTGGACATTTAGTTAAAAAAGCAATATGAATGTTTGATTGATTAACTTTTTGTAAAAGCTTATTGCAGCAAAAAGCTAAAATTCAAAAAGCTGCTCAAAGCAGTTTTTTCGTTCAGCTTTTTGAAAAAGTCATTTTGCATATAATCAAGATCAACTATCCGCTAATTTACCAAACATCTTTCTACAATCAACTAATGCTATCAACTAGTCAAACCCACTAATCCAACCATCTAATGCTATCAACTACTCTAACCCACTAACCTAATCAGCTAGCAGTTATTTACCAAACACACCGAAAAGTTTTCATTGGGTAGTAATATATCCCACAGTTTTATACACCCCAAAACAGGAAAGACTTTCTAAGATAGAAGACTTCATGGCCTCATGTCTTAACCCCTGTGTTTACTAGTGCCCTAACAAATCTTTCTTGGTGAGACTTGTGGAGAGAAGATGAATAAGCAAAAAGTATAGGCATTTACAATAAGAAATGATTAACAAGAGAAATGTTAAACACTTAAACTCCACTAGTTCCTAATTGACAGCTTGTTGTAGATTAACAATCTCCTCATTCCAACTATAGACAGAAATGAATTAATAGCTTTCTCATTCATAATGATTTAAGTATACAGTTACAAAATGAGTAGAATTTGCAGTTGAATAAGAGAAATTACCTTTAGCTTACTAGGCGGAGTTCCTTGAAATCTCCGTTGCAACTCGAGAACCATACGAGGGTCAAGCTCGACAGCTATGACGGACTTTCCGGCTTCTAGAAGCTTCTTAGTCAAGTTACCAGTACCTGGACCGATTTCGAGGATGACATCGGTCGGTTTGATGCCAGATTTCTCGACGATTGTGTCAACTAACATAGGATTTTTCAGTATGTGCTGACCTTTGGACTTGTGAAATTGAATTCCGCCCTGGTAGTGAGGGTTTGCGCCGCCAGCTCCGGCGGAGCCACGGTGAGTTTTTTCTTTGCGTATCTTCCCTCCTGCCATGGTGAATTCTACGCTCTGTGGAGAAAACCCTACGAAGGTTACGAGCAGCTTTTAGCTTTCGGCTTTCTGAGATAACCAAATGAGGAGAGTTGAGTTTATTCAATAGTTGCTTCGACCTTGATCACCGTAACATACATCCTCATAAATTTAATAAGAGCAAATACCAATTTTAGTCCAATGAGTATTAGCAAAATGACAATTTTAGTTCACATATTTAATTCCTATCAATTTTCATCCACGACTATTGTTTTAGTACCAATTTTCATCCATGACTATTTTTTTAACGCCAAAATTCATCACGTTGGTAACCCCTCCGTTTAAGACATACCGAAATCTAAAAATTTTAAGGGTATTTTCGTCCTTTTCAATTTAAGATCCCAATTTGAGCATGAATAAAGGGATTCAAGCCCTAAGATCGATCTCAATTCGCAATTCTCTTTCTCATCCTACCTTAATTTGAGGAGGAGAATTGCAAATATGTGATCGATCTTAGGGCTTAAATCTCTTTATTTATATTCAAATTGGGATCTTAATTTGAAAAAGACGAAGATACCCTTAATAATTTTATATTTCAGCATGTCTTAAACGAATAGGTGACCGGCGTGATGAATTTTGATATTAAAACAATAGTCTTGGATGAAAATTGACACTAAAACAATAGTCGTGGATGAAAATTGGTAGAAATCAAACTTGTGGACCAAAACTATCATTTTACTAATACTCGTGGGACTAAAATTGGTATTTGCTCATTTAATAATGTATAATATTCGAACTCATAAAATATGTTATCTTATATCAAAAAAATTTATTATTTTCATATAAAGTATATTATTCTAATTTATAAATGAATGCTATGGATTAATGCTATGTGAGAGTTAAATAAATGATTTGGCCTGGTTATTTCTGTGTGTTGATAGACTGAAATGGAGAAAATGTATGCATATTACAAGGAGAAGAGAATTTAAATTTCATATTAGCTGTTGTTTCACTTTAATTAAAATTTTCTTGTGCATTTAAAACATTTATAACTACTGGATACTTATTCTTCTTTTACAAAAGGAAAAAGGGTCAAATTGGTCTAAGAGCATCCACATTTGTGGATAATTTGGAGTTATTTCAGAATTAATTTTCCCCACCCAAGATAATAGTTAATGTGGAGAAAAGTTATTTAAGAAATAATTCTCCTACAAGTAAATGGAGAATTCAGAAATGGTGGGACCCACCACAAAAAGTGAAATAATGCACCACTGGTGGCTGTCACCATAGAGCACAACGCGCGTCAGGCGCGCCTCTCGGAAAGCCTGACAGTCATATTTTTTAAAAAAAAAAAAATTAATTTTCCTTTTTTTTTTTCCCTTTTTTTCTCTCCCCTCTCATCTTCTCTTTCCTAATCGCTCTTACATTATCCCCCAATTCTCCCTAACTAATATGGATGCTCTAAGTATGGATAGTATAATTGGCCCCCTAAGTGAAAAAAAAAAAAAAAAGTTTCATTCAAATCTCTAAAATCAGTAAAAAAAAAATGTTTAATTAAGTCCAAATTAACTTGTTTATCAAGTTAAATATATACGGTGTTAACACGTATCTTTTTTTTTTTTTTTTTTTTATTAAAAATTATGAATAAGGGTCAAATATGCCATCAAACTGCACACAATAATGCAATTAGATCACTGAACTTAAAAAAGCTACAATTAGATCCCTGAACCAACTAATTTTATGCAATTAGTCTTATTTGTAGGTTTTCCAAGTTGTTAGCAGGTCACCCCTTTTCAATATATATTTTTTTTAAAAAAAATATATTATTTAAATTTTATTTATTTTTTTTAAAAATATCGTCTCTGCCGGAGCGAAGAGACCCTTTTTGTCTCCGGCCATGGAGACGTCTCTGGCCGGAGACGAAGAGACTCTTCGTCTCCTGCCATGGAGACGAAGAAGTTATCTCCGTCTCCATGGCCGGAGACGAAGAAGGCGGAGGCGGTATCTTTTTTTTTTTTTTTTTTAATTAAATAATTATTTTAAATAAAAAATTTTAAAATATATTTTAAAATAGAAGTGACATGCTAATTACCTGAAAAACCTACAAATTGGACTAATTGAATATAATTGGTTAGTTCAGGGACCCAATTGTATTTTTTTTTTTTTTTAATTCGGTGGCCTAATTACATTATTGATTGCAATTCGATGGCCTATTTGACCCTTAGGAATTACAAATATTATTTTTTAAAAATAGCCACCGGCTGTCCGGCAGTAGTTGTCTTCTTCACGGACAACCACGTCCATCTAAGGAAGACGACCATGACCGTCTTCTAGATCTGGAACGAGGGCGATGGCTATGGCCGCCGCCCTTGTTCCAGAGGGCTATGGTTGTCCGTCTAGAACGAGGACGGCGGTCGTGGCTGTCCTCTCAGCCACGACTGTCTCTGAAGAAGACAACCACCGGCTGTCCGGCGCGGATAGCTGGTGGTTGTTATATATATATATGTGTGTGTTTGTGTGTGAGTGAAAGAGAGAGAGAGAGAGATTTTTAATAAATAAAATAAAAATGACACGTGTCAACACCCCATAGATTGAACCGGATAAACAAGTCAATTTGAACTTAATTGTATAATTTTACCGGTTTAAGAAACTTGAATGATTTTTTTTTTTTTTTTTTTTTTTACTTAGGGACCCAATTGCAGTATTTAGTTGACTTAAGGGGGCCAATTTTTACCCTCAACACAAAACGGAATAACTTTGTTTCGGTTATTGAGGATTGTATTAAAGTTACTGAATAAAGTTTAAGTTTATTTCTTTTGGCTGAGGTTTGGGAATAGTTATATTGTTCATTCCAAACTCTTGCTACAAGAACTTAATTGTCCAGTCATCAGTGACTAATCTCTCCCTTGTTGAAAGCTCCATTCAATTAAAAATAATTTATGCATCGTAGCAGGGATGACTACGTCACAGTAAACACATATTTCAACCACCAATCAAGCAAACAACTTTATACTGCCTTTGAAATGTATTCTCTCTTATGTGAAGACATTGGAACAAATGAAATTTTGTTATTTTGGAGCTTCCACTCATTATCAATGAAATGTGTAGGTATGCACATGTAATTTATCATTTGCACATATGTCCAAGTATTAGTAGTGATACTGACACTTTGACTACTACTCCTAAAAACTTATTCAATTTACCCTCTCATAACAAAAAAAAAAAAAAAATCTTGAAAATGTCCATACTGATAGTCTATCTTTATAGAATTTTAAACCCAGGGCTGCAAACTAAAACAAACTTCATAAAATCTTGACCCTCAACAATCCTAAAAGGCAGTTCATCCACAATAATCATTTTAGCTAAGGCTCTCCTTATCAGCTCTTGATCAAATACCCAGGTTCCCCACACGCCTTCAATGCCTTCACTATTTTCAATTCCAGCAGAAGTAGGGGCATGTTGGAAGGTAAGAAGTGACTGTATTGTATCCTTAGAGTGGTGGTTTTTAAGGCAACATAAGATGTGATGTTTCAAATAAGAAGTCCTATGTTTTTTGGACTTGTATGCAGACAACTTTTGCACGATATGAGCATTTGTCTTTGATAACAATGCTCTCATTGCTTTTTATTTTTTCAAAGTGATCCCATACATGAGATATGATCTCAACCTCTTTCATTTTCTTTGGAACATATGGGGACATAGGCTGCTGAGATGTATTTGTCTCTACAGCTTGGGCTTCCACCTCAAGTTGACTTCCAAACACGCCACTAATACTTTCCAAAGAATGAGAGAAGTCAGAGAACGAGAGAACTCAGAGAATTGGAGAAGAGTCTAGAAGAGAGGAAATGATGCGATTGGGCAAATGAGAGTCTTAGTAGGCCAGGGGACAATATATACTTAGACTATACGGCATATACACATATATAAACCCTAATCCTATATCGGATTTTTCGACTAGTCAAGTGAGATTTTATACACCCAAATTGAATTCAAATACCCAGCATTTATTTTTCGACAAATCAGGTACAAATACCCATTAGATATTGTTATCGAATTTCGAATTGATTGAAAGTCTAATTTTTTTCGAATAATGCTCACCCCTACTCTTATCCCTATTTAAAATTAATCTTAATTCTTTAAATAAGATAAAGATAGTATGATTAGTTTCACTCACATCAGACCAACCATTACTTCTTGGCTACAAAATGAACTCCCATTTACTATTATTGTATACTTTTGCTACACAAGGAAACTCGAGTTACTCCACAACTTGGAAATTGCGGGAGTTTCATATTACATGTCATGGTGTAACTCTACTGCTACAAAGTACAAGTTATAAAGCATTGGTATAGAGAGAAAATATCTAAACCGTCAAATGGTACAAAAGCATCTAGCGTATATATTATCTGTAAACCCTAATTAAACCCTCTCTATCTCTCTAAAAACTCAAACACTTCCGGATCACTAGGGTTCCACTCTTTCTCACAGATAATGGGTAGCCTCTTCCTGAGGAAATCATCGTCGTCGCCGGCCCCGAAAAGGTTCGCCCTCGCCGCCCTATCCAATCTATTCCATTCATCGTCGTCCGCGACCGAGAAGCTCGTTTCTGGGAATGTACCTCAATTTCATGAGCTAACTCCAATCCCAAAGCCGTCTATCATCGGGAAATCTTCGTCGCTTCGACAGATAGTAAGGGGTTTCCACGCCTCTCGGCCGTTGGCGGCGGGGTATGCTGTTGCGGATTTGCCTGACGATGACGAAGGCCTCGAAATCGCGAAGCTCGGTATCCCTCAGGAGATCGTATCTGCTTTAGCTCAGAAGGGAATCACCAAGCTCTTCCCCATTCAGGTGTTTAAGAAATAAAAAAAAAATATTGACATTTGCCTTTTCTTTTTGGGTTTTTAATTCAAGGGAAGATATAGTTTTGTTATGCTTAAAATGTGCCTCTGGAATTATGTATTCCAATTTTGAGAGTTTAATGGGGCACTTGTACCCTTGTACCCTTGTAATTATGATTGATAATGTTCAAATTCTGAAACCAAGAGAAGCAGAAGATGGAATCCAATTTGTTTGTGCATTGTTTTTTTTAAAAAAATTATTTTCAAATGTAATGACTATCAAGGATCATAAATTATGTGGGATATCTTTTTTTTTTTTTTAAAAATCTTTACTACTAAATTAATGTTGTGTAATATAAAGTATAATCTTTTCTATTTTTTTTTTTGCTTGCATTTTTATTTATTTAGTACTTTTTAGTACTGTAGTAGTTGGTAGCTTTCTATGTTCCAAGAGAATGAAAGGCTTTTTTGTTGTCAATAATAATTAATCTTCAATCTTTTTTTTTTTTTTTTTTTTTTTAATTATTTTGTAGAAAGCAGTTCTGGAACCAGCAATGCAAGGATCTGACATGATAGGTCGAGCTAGGACAGGAACAGGGAAGACTTTAGCTTTTGGAATTCCTATCATGGATAAGATTATTCGTTACAATGAGAAACACGGGTATGCTAATTTGCCTTCCCTCATTCAGTTTAATACACATATATATATTAGGTATTGGTAGCATCAAAGAATCAAAGTTTGGTTAGGGCAATTACTCTCTGTATATACTCACCTTTTGGTGATTCTATGTTGACACATTGGAAATTTATTAGAAATTTGTATCATTCTCAATAATGCAGGAGGGGAAGAAACCCTTTAGCACTGATCTTGGCTCCTACTAGAGAGCTTGCCAAACAAGTGGATAAAGAATTCTATGAGTCTGCCCCTAATTTGGATACATTGTGTGTTTATGGTGGTGTTCCCATTGGAAGACAAATGGGTCAGCTGGAGAGGGGGGTTGACGTGGTTGTTGGGACACCTGGTCGGATTATTGATCTGATTAGAAGGGGTGCCTTGAATTTAGCAGAAATTCAGTTTGTTGTTCTAGATGAAGCTGATCAGATGCTTAATGTTGGTTTTGCTGAGGATGTTGAAACAATTCTAGAAAATGTGCCAAGGAAGCGACAGACAATGATGTTTTCAGCTACAATGCCAAATTGGATTATGAAACTTACCCAGAAGTTCTTAAGAAATCCAGTTCACATCGATCTTGTGGGTATCTGTGTTCCTTAGATGCAGTTTTTTTAGCATAGAATTTTAAATATATGCCTTAATATGTTTAAAGTTCCCCCTCTGAATCACTAGCTTATTTATTTGTTGTAGGTTGGAGATTCAGATCAGAAATTAGCTGATGGAATTTCCCTGTATTCAATTGCTTGTCAGATGCACTCGAGACCAGCAATTCTTGGCCCTCTAATAACAGTATGAAACCTTAATTATGACCACCTGATTTTTGGCACAATTTATGCACCTATCTATGTCTCTTCAAGATTAAAAAAAACTGATAAGAACGTTCTGTGTGTATTTTTAGGAGCATGCTAAAGGAGGGAAATGCATTGTTTTCACTCAAACAAAACGTGATGCTGATAGGTTAGCAAATGCCATGCAAAGAAGCCACAGATGCGAAGCATTGCATGGAGATATCTCACAGAACCAGAGGGAGAGAACACTATCAGGCTTCAGACAAGGTCACTTCAATATATTGGTTGCCACTGATGTTGCTGCTCGTGGTCTTGATGTACCTAATGTTGATCTGGTCAGTCTACTTCCTGAGTTTAACATGTCACAGAATAACGTACTTATGAAAATATGAAGAATCTTATACCATGAAGTATGGAAGATAGATCTTATTGACAGCTAAAACTATGCAATTTCTTCACACAGCTCTTATCTCAGGGCATAATTATTTACTTGGTATATTTTCCCAGAAAAAAATTTCTTTTGGAATTGGGCTGGCAACCGATATGGCATTAAAAATGCTAATGTGGCCCATTCATCAAAATGCTATATTCCATTTATTGTGAATTCATGTTAAATGTAGGATCATGTGAACATCAGCACTGGCCAGTTGTCTTTTAGAAATCATTTTATGTTACACTAACATATTTCTTTAAGCGTTATTTTATGCCAATTGCTTTTGTGATATACTTAAGATGCATAAAAGTGTTATATTGTGCTTACAATAACAATAATTTAAGAAGTAGATGGATGAAATTGGTAACCTAGTTTTCAATAGATTTTTATTTTTATTTGTAATAAAGCATGTAAAAGTAGGGATCTATCTTAGGTTCTGCTAGGAAGGTTCTTGTGTTGGTTAGCATTTGAGTCTGTGGGTATTCACTTGCAGTCTACTATTTCTTATTGCATGCAAGTCATGTTAGATAATTTAATGCTCAGGTGGTGCATTATGAACTTCCAAACTCCTCAGAGATCTTTGTTCATCGATCTGGTCGAACAGGACGTGCTGGTAAGAAAGGTTCTGCGATTCTCATCTATTCAGCACAACAGTTGAGAGATGTGAAAGGCATTGAACGTGATGTAGGATGCAGATTTGTTGAGGTATGAATGTGAACCTCCTTTTTAAATTGAATTATGTTGCCACTTCTATGTATATTTTTGTCATTTTTACACTGTTACTATGAATAATTGAAGAATCTTTTTTAATTGATTTAATACTAGAACTTTGCTCTGAGATAACCAGTTTCAAGTTAAGATACACTGTTACTCAAGTCAGGGTTAGAATTTGTTGCTAACTTTTGATAAAAGCACATGAGTTTAAAAGTGTTCATTATGATTGATTGTGGTGTTAGTAAGATTGTTAGTGTTGGAATCTAATTTTGAAAACAGAATTTATTGACAGACACTTCCCTTTTGTGCTAAACCTTATGTGTTCTGTAAGTGTCTGAATTTTGATTTCAATGGCTGAAAAATTCAGGATTAGGTTCTTTTTGTCTGGACGACTTCTACAAGCTCATGATTTTGCATATGCCCTTTAATGTTTTACACGTATTCCATTTGCTGAACTTCTTGTTAGCTCTATATAGTTTGAACCCACGCAGATACCTTCAAGAACAATATATGCTTCTCTATGTATTCAGTTATGCCAGATATGTAACTTCTCATAAAAATGTCAATGTTGTTAATACTGTTGCCTTGTCAGGCGGATGGGATTTTGCAATTTTTAATGAAGTTGGATGGTATTTTTAGGCATATAGATCTTATTTTTAAGATAAAGAAGAAGAAAGTGCTCATGATGTTTTTAAGATTTGTATGTTATGCCCCGATTTTGCATCGAAGTAATTTTTGTTAACAGGGACAATTGCTTGCACTTATTTGAATGTTGATTTATATTTGCTGCTAGTATAGATTTGTGTGTATACTTTTGATTGATTTTGGTGGTGTGTACAACGTGAAACCTGTTAAGCAAGGTTGTTTCTCTTTCCATATCAATTATGTCAGCCTCATTAACTATTGTTTGTATATGCTAACAATAGCTTCCAAGAATAGAAGTAGATGCTGGAACAACAGACATGATCGACGATATGGATGTTGGTGGTAGTTATTTTGGCTCTAATAGGGGCATGGGAGGTGGGCGTTTTGGTGGTGGCTATGGTGGGTTTGGTGGATCTGGTTCAGGCCGATCAAGCGGTGGTTTTGGTGGGGGCCGATCGGGTGGCAGTTTTGGTGGAGGCCGATCGGGTGGCAGTTTTGGTGGAGGCCGATCGGGTGGCGGTTTTGGTGGAGGCCGATCTGGTGGCGGCTTTGGTGGAGGCCGATCTGGTGGTGGCTTTGGTGGAGGCCAGAGTAGTTCAAGGCGTTCAGATGGGTTTGGGAGCTATGATGGATCTGATCGTGCTGGTAGTTTTGGAAGGACTCAGAGTTCAAATCGCTCAGGTGGTTTTGGAGACTTTGGTTCAGGTCGCCCCAGTGGATTTGGTTTTTTTGGAGATGACAACAAGAGCAGAAATTCTTGAAGGAAAAATTTCTAACTCTGTTCTGTGGTAAGTACCGTTTGTGGAGAGGTTGAATCATGGTACCCCTTGGTTTTTGCAAATACTTAACCACTAAGGTTAGCTTTTTAGAATTTGTTCTTAATGCATGATTACATTGAATATCTTTTCTCCATTATGGAAACATTGATAACTATGAGAATATGCCCGACTTTAGAATTTGTTCTTTGTTCACTGGGGGGTGAGGGGTGGGGTGCTTATTTGGTCTTTTTATAGACTATTAAACTAATATGTTACTTCCTTTAAAAAATGAGGCTTATGGGGCATGATGGTCATGATTTGTTTTGTGCAACAGGTAGTAAAGTTACAGAGTGAGTCAGCGTTCGGGATTGACAATTATGAGATGCTAGGATAGGAAGAATATAATGTCGATTTCAGCTCTCTGTGCTCTACTTTTTGATAGGTGCATGTCAATGGAAGGCTGAAATAACATGCTATATGTATATTGCTTTGCAATAACTGCATCATTGCACGGAGACAACACAACGTTAGGAAGTTTCAAGAATCTGTGTAATATTTTTATATACCTTTTATTGTTCATATATGTTATTTCAAGCTCAAAGTCAATTTAGGTTGTACAACCTGGAGTGGATATGGTGGCCAATATATTTTGTACCTTTTTAAGTTTAAAATTTTGTATTAGCATTTGGTGCTACGAGCAATATTGCTGTCTTGTTTTAATACCTAGTTATGTGCTTTGAGTATATGTATGTTTTGCTACACTTGAGGAAAATAGAGATTGAATCAGCCAATATTCCTAGTTAACATTGTGTTTGAAAAAGCTCGTGTATCTTGAAATCAATTTAACACTAAGGATTCTACTTGATTTTATATTACGAGACAATTTCGCTGTTTAATTAAATCAATTTAATCAACTTATAAATAACGAAATTGAAAGTATAAATAAAATAAAGACACAGTAGAATTGTTACGCAGTCCCACGTCTGTCCAATCCACTAGATGTTCACTACAGAGTATTACAAGAGGTAACTACATACGGCTCACATCCTTTACCACTACAACTTTTCTACAACACCTATTCAGGACTGAACCGTGCATGTCATAACCATCTTTGGTGTATCGCTTCAGCTGTCACAGGTACTAACTTGAAGTACAGAATTAAATCACAAATATAACATAATCAATATTAAAGCAGTAATATAGAAAGCTTGCGTATGTGATCAGAATTTCAGAATTGGCAACTTCCTCTTTCGTTTTCCCTTCCTTATATACTGTACGTAATTTCCATTCAGAATTGGCAACTTCCTCTTTCGTTTTCCCTTCCTGATATACTGTACGTAATTTCCATTTCACCAAGCCTTGATTGTAGCTTTCATATGTGGCTTGAATTCTTCTCAACCACATCTTCTTTAACTTGAGATCTTCAGACTTGCTCCACCACACATTTTAGCTTGGTCCAAAATACTAATTACAACTCATACTAATTAACATTACATATTAATAAAATAAACTAATAAATTAGCCAATCTAATGTGTACTATTTTGTACACTTACAATCTCCCCCTTTAGCAATTTATTTGGTAAAACAATAGTATCATTATACTTTGGGAAAAAGAAATGAATATTTTATTAACATCCCATAGTATACGTACTGAACATATAAAGAAAATTAAATATGCAATTTTAAATCTTTTAGAACCAGACCAAAGCTTATTTGTGTGTGAGATTTTATTTTGGACCTTAGTTGGTGTTGACTCACATACTTCATCCAATCAATAAATAGTGACTCATGCACGAAAAAGTGTTGTATCAAACATACCATATATGTCACGCGTTCCATACTGTAATTTGAATTACTCCCCCTAACTTGGAGCTTTCCTTTCTTCATATGCATTCCAATTAGAACCAATTCATACTATGCAGTCAACATACCAAAAATACCAAGACATTCATACTTAATTCATTCATAGTCATACCAAAAATATTTATAGTCATACTAAATTATTAATAACATCCGAATCAAGGATTAACATCCATACCAAAGTATACCAAAAACCAAACAAACTTACCAACCATCACACATCCAAAACAAACAAACTTACCAACCATCCACACATCCAAAACAATTCACATACTCCCCCTTTGTTTTTGCCAAATAAATGACAAACAAACCGGTGAACATCATACTAGTGGATTGGATTAATTTGCAGACGGGGTGCCCGACCTAGATTCATCGCTCTCAGAAATAGAACCAGTGCCAGCGCCAATATTAGATCGAATCCGAGCATAGATAGCCTCCATTCTGGCTATTTCTTCCAATTGAGCACCCAACAGCTTTTCTAAGCCATCAATGGTTATTTGTTGAGAAGCAACCGATGTGCGAATTTGAGCAATTGACGCTTGAAGAGTGAGAACAATTTGACGGCGATCCATGAGCGTCTGAGGTTCCTTGAACACTGCCGTAGGACGGGGATTTGGAGCTGAAGTAGTGTCAGCCGATGATGCAGGGGCAGGCACAGGGGGCGTGGCAGTTGGTACGTCGGGAGTGATCATGAGCGTAGCTCTATCATCATAGTGATCCTTATGGGTTAAACGATCATCATATTTATAGACTGAGTCATTAGCAATCACCACCTCATCTTTGTAGGGCTTGAACCCATGTTCCTATAGAATCCCGAAAATTAGACTAGGAAACGGAAGATGTACCTTAGGTTCCCTATGTCGCACAAATTGAGCGAGATGACCAAAAATGATTTCTCCAAGATTAAAAGGAAGTCGGTTCCTGATCTTGTAAAGGAGGGCATCAAGCTGGTCAGACACAAGATGATGACGCACAGCCGGCATCCAATTTGTTGAAGCAAGCCGTAAAAGAACAGAGTAGACCGTGGTGAGCTTTAGGCTTTCGAGTCCGGTGTTTGGCCAAGTGACGACTTTGTTGTGAGTTAAAGCAGCAGCTAGGAGATTAGGACTCGGATCAGGGGCAGCTTGATGATTTGGAATACCCAAATAGGAATTGATCACGGCCGGACTTAAGGGATACCATTTATCCCGGATGAAAACTTGTTGAAACCGAGGTGACCCCTCTGAAAAAGTATCCAAAGTTAAATTCATGTAAAACTCGGCAGTGAGCCAGGTGGAATATGATCCAGTATGAACAAGTGAGGCAAGTAGGCATTGATCTCGCAAGATAGGCACAATGTTGCATTTTTCTGTCAATTCTTCCACATTGATGGATTTCTCCAGTATAAAATCTCTAGTGGCATGAAAACTCCAATAAGACATCAAATCTGGAGACAATAAAATCGGATGGTATGTCTTCTTAGATTTCTTCATCTTTGAGCCAGATGAGATAGTGGCAGCTGCTGGTGCAGGGGCTGGACTTGGTACTGGGCCTGAAACTGATCTGGACCTTGTCACCCTGGGTGGCAATGTAGACCCTCTTTTTGATTGCTTGGAATCAGACAAGCAGACAACATCCTCCAATGCTCCAATTTTTCTTTTCTCGGCTGTACCTGAAACAGTAATTTTTTCTTTCCCTTTTCGGGAAGATTTGCCCATGGGCACAGAGATAATGGGAACAGAGTCATGTGAGGTGGGCACAGGGATGGGAACCTCTGCGGATTTCGAGACTAGAATGGTTATGGGAATAGAGAATGCAGCACAAGTCATGGGAGACACATATTGGTTAATATTTCGAATGGTGAAGGGAGATGACACAACATGCATTAAATCAGATAATGACACAAGATTTTCAGGTAATTTATGCGAAGAAGAATCATACGGATCACCTTGTAAAGGAACGGAAGGGGCACACAAATCACTTGAGGTAGACACAAACTGATTTGGCAAAGAGATGTTGAAGTTTAATTTTCTAGAAGCAGAAACAGTTTCATCTAAAGGTGAGGATACTACCATAGTTTCCGGAGATGAGGCATGCACGAACTCGGATTGTGGCAAAGGTGGCTCGGTTGATTCAGCCGGAAAAGTCCACAGCTCCACTGATATGAACCGAGCTAGAGCTTGGATTTGTCTGATTTCCTTGTCCGAGAGTCCTTCAAGAAGGTTTGCATGGTGCTTGATTGTGGCGAGAACTCGATCCGTATCATCAGATGTAAGAGGAGATTCAACGTTGATGATGTGGCGGAATAGCTCCAATCTTTCGGATTTAGTTGTGAAAATGGTGAAAGGGTTGTCTTCTTCCATTGTTGAAGGTTTGGTGATTGAGCGTGGTAAAGATGAGGATGAAGATGAAGAGTGTGGGTTTGGCGTGTAAGAGTAAGAAAGTCAAGGAGACATTTAATTAATGGGCTTCTCAAAAGTTGTGATGGATGGGATGAGTGATGGGACGTGTTTGTAGGGGTAGTAGTAGAGTCATACTAGGAGAGAGTGGTGGAAGATGTTTGAAATTAATATTTCAATAACCATTTTAATTTTGTAGTGATAGTTTTAATATATAGATATATAAGGTAGCCGAGCCGTTAAGGAAATATGAAGGTATAGGGGCGAGAAAATTAAAAGTAAGTAGGAGAGGTTTAGAGTTTTATTTTCGTATTTAGAAATTTATTTTCCTGCAACAAATAAACAACAACCACGTTAAAGAAAATTAATTAGAGATTATTTGTTGTACCTGATGTGGAAGATTAAGCTGTGGGATTGCAAACCCCAAGGGCAGCTCTAAGCAGTTCAAATCTCGATTTGTCTAACGGCTTGGTGAATAGATCTGCAAGATTTTATCTGTTGAAGTATATTCCAAGATAATTTCTTTCTCTTCGACTAGTTCACGAATAAAGAGGTGTCGAATGTCTATATGTTTCGTCCTGGAGTGTTGGACTGGATTTTTAGAGATGTTGATTGCACTGGTGTTGTCACAGAACAATGTCATACTCTGTTGTTCTATACCATAGTCAGTTAACATCTGACGCATCCAGAGTAATTGTGTGCAACAACTACCCGCCGCTATATACTCAGCTTCAGCTGTGCTGAGTGAAATCGAGTTCTGCTTCTTACTTAGCCAGGCGACTAGATTTTTTCCGATAAAGAAACATCCGCCTGATGTACTTTTTCTATCATCAGCGTTTCCTGCCCAGTCAGCATCACTGTATCCATAATATCTGGTCGACTGGCTGTTAAGTATAGTAGACTGCCTATCATACTTCTGTACATAGTAGAGTCTACATATGTTCCCTTTTCATCTTTGAACAATTTTGAAGTCGTAGAGATAGGAGTACGAACATCTTTTGCAGATTCAAGCCCAAATTTGGATAGAAGATTTTTCGCATATTTTTCTTGACTAGCTGGTCTGTCTCTCCTGGTTGTGTGGATCCAAAAACGATATCATCTACATACACTTAAGCAATTGTTATGTGTTTACCTGATCGTTTTATAAATAACGTTTTGTCTGATCCTCCTCTTTTGTAGTTGTTCTGAAGAAGATATTGAGTAAGTCTCTCATACCAGGCTCTTGAGGTCTGTGTTAAGCCATAGAGAGCTTTTTGTAATTTGTAGACATAGTCTGGATGATGTGGATCTTCAAACCCTTTAGGCTGAGCAACGTATATATCTTCCGGGAGATAACCGTTTAAGAAGGCTGTTTTAACGTCCATCTGAAACAGCTTGAATTTTAGGGCACAAGCAATCGATAGAAGGAGTCGGATTGACTCTAGCCGTGCAACAGGGGCAAATGTTTCGTCGTAGTCAATTCCTTCAATTTGGGAGTAGCCTTGGGCTACCAGCTGCGCTTTATTTCTAGCGATGTTGCCAGCAGCATCGGTTTTGTTGCGAAAGATCCATT